TAAACATATCACTAGCGTTAGGCCAACACAGTTCCATATTTCAATGTGAATGTGTGGCAATAACTTACGCTGCCACAACGGCCATGTCAAGGGGTATTAAGGACTACAACATCCGAATAATATTTATTTATTTATTTATTTATATAGGACAACTTACAAAACATACACTAATACATAATTTACAAACATGTTTTACAATTATTTTCTGAGTGTTGTCTTACTTAAAAGTTGCCACGGCATGGTAAGGGACAGTTGCATCTAAGATTACAATGCAATATCTATAATAATACACAAAACATACAGAACATAATCGAAATTAGTTAAAGACAGTGATGATCTAAGAAGGTCCAAATGACGCAATAACTTTACTTTTAAATTTTGGCAGACTGTTTGAGAAGATGTCTACATCAATTTCATGATTTTTCGTCAGCTTGTTATACTGGCTTTGTAGTCTATTTATAGTAGCGTTCTGACCTAAGTTGGTGTTAGAAGATTTAATAGAAAAAGGAGCGTATTTATTGGCACGGAGATACCTTGAGGGAGCATTTATATTTATTTTCTCAATAAGAATGGGGCAGTCTAAGTCACCGTTAACTAATTTGTAAAGCAAAATCTGATCCAATAACTGCCTACGATCGAACAAACTGTGGAGATTAAAATGTTTTAAACGACTTTCATACGTCGGCAGCAGTTTTACTTTATTGCACTGGTATGAAAGGTGCCAAAGAAAACGCTTAAATATCCGACAGCATGGCCGTCTTATAGGCATTGGAGGGCAACACAATGACCTCTGGTATTGTCTTCGAATGCCACCAAGCACTGGAACAGCTCGCTATATTCAATGGGGTAATCCTCCAATGGATTAAAGGGCACAGTAACTCACACGGGAACGATGCCGCAGATGAGTTGGCAAGGAGGGGCTCGGCAACCCCAACCTCTGGCCCAACCCCACTCCTGCCCATATCGTTTAACCAAATACGATGCTGGGTCAGGCAACGGACCTGTGAAGCACACAACCGGAGGTGGAAAAACTCACGCGGCTGCAGACAGTCCAAACTGGTGCTGAATCAAGTCACACCACGACTCACCTGCAGACTGATCAGTCTTAGCAGACCGGAAATCAGAACGGTTGTCGGAACTATTACAGGACATCTAGCCCTGAACCGACAACTATTCATAATCAATGCGACGGACAGTCCCCTGTGCAGGGGATGTCTGGAAGCTGAAGAAACGGCCGTCCACGTAGTCCTGGAATGCGAGGGAGTGGCCACACAACGGGCAAGTATCATTCCTGATACAAAGTCGCTCCTAGAAGCCTGTGAACGCCCCAGGAGGCTTCTGCGCTTCTGGAAGGAGCTTGGCTGGCTCACCTAGTCAACCAATCCTCGACGCATAAAGGACCACTCTGAGTCTAAATGCGGAAACCCAAGCCCACAACCAATACCAATACCCCTTCAGGGTACGGAGTTGCTTAGCCTTATGTCCCGTCATAAACGAGTTTTCCGACTATCTAATATCAGGGACTGCTACGACCACAGTCCAAACAGGTGAGATGGAGATAAAACTTACCAGTTCCACCCCTGTCGTTTATCGTCCGTATAGACTCTCTTATTCCGAAAAACTTAAAGTCAGGAAGATTACACAAGACCTTTTAGATAAGAGAGTGATTAGGCGTTCGAAATCTGAATATGCGAGCCCGATTATACTCGTAAGAAAACGTGACGGCTCAGATAGGCTTTGTGTCGATTATAGGGCGCTAAATCGAATTACAGTGAAAGATCGATATCCTCTTCTACTAATAGACGACCACATTGACAGGTTGGACGCGTGTAAGTTCTTCTGTAGCCTCGATATATCTACAGGGTTTCACCAAATTCCTCTTAAAGAGGAATGTGTTCACTTCACTGGTTTTGTGACTCCGGAAGAACACTTTGAGTATGTCAAAATGCCTTACGGTTTAGCTGATTCCCCAATAGTTTACCAGCGCATTATAAATGACACCTTACGCAACCATCTTAATGAGGGAAACGTGCTAGTCTACGTCGATGACGTCCTTCTGCTAGGTAATTCTGTGTCAGAAGGGATTGAACTGTTGCGTAAAGTACTCAGGACCCTTACATCGGCCGGTTTTTCAATAAATTTAGCTAAATGTTCGTTCCTAGTCACAGAAGTAGAATATTTGGGGAGGTTAGTTAGTCAGGGTCAGGTTAGGCCAAGCCCACGAAAAGTGGAAGCCCTAGTTAACACCTTGCCGCCTGAAAATGTAAAACAAGTGCGCCAACTCTTAGGTTTGGCGGGTTATTTTCGGCGGTATATTAAAGATTACTCCACTAGAACTGCTCCCATTGCTCATCTAACCCGTAAAAATGTCAAATTCAATTGGACTCTTGAATGCGAGGCTATTCGTCTCAATCTCATTAAAGAATTGACCAGTGAACCGGTCCTTTCCATTTTTAACCCCAGCTTTCCCACCGAGGTCCATACAGATGCCAGCCGTGCTGGATACGGTGCGGTACTCCTACAAGTTCATCCAGATTCAAAAAAGCACGTTGTGGCTTATTTGAGTAAGACCACTCAGGATGCTGAAGGGAAGTACCACTCCTACGAATTGGAGACCCTTGCCGTCGTCAAGGCCCTCCAAAACTTTCGACACTATCTGGTTGGTTTGAAACTTGTGGTGGTGACAGACTGTAATGCCCTTAAGGCAACTGAACGGAAGAAAGATCTTTTGCCTCGAGTAGCCAGGTGGTGGATCTACCTTCAAGATTTTGATTTCTCAATCGAGTATCGAAAAGGAGTGATGTTACCCTATGCAGACTACTTAAGTCGCAACCCCGTCAGCATTAATCAAATTTCTAGACCGAGAAATTGGGCTCAGGTGGCACAGTCAGCCGACAACGAGACGCAAAATCTCATCCAAAGACTTCACGATGGCAGTCTCGATGCTAATCGTTATTCCAACCGAAATGGAGTTTTGTACTACAAGTGCACCCCAGTAGGCCAAGATCCACGCCTACTCTGCTATATACCCAAGGGGCATAGACTTAGTCTTTTAAGAGTATTTCATGATGAGCACGAACACATCAACGCAGAAAAGACCCTTGACCTTATCCTAATACATTTTTAGTTCCCCGGCCTCAGCCAGTTCGTTGGCAAATACATTGCTCACTGTCTCGTGTGTGTGTCGCAAAAGAGAGTTCCTCGGGCTCCTTTGCAGACTATCACTTCCTGGGAAAAACCCGACACACCGTTCCACACTGTTCATGTCGACGCCTTAGGCCCTCAGCCTGTGTCTGAAGGGTACAAATTCGTTTTACTTATTGTCGACGCTTTTACCAAATATACCCTCCTCTACCCGATTTGTAGACAAGACACTAGTGAGTTAAAACGCGTCGTTACTCAGGCTATTTCTATGTTTGGAGTGCCTAAGCTTATGGTTACTGACAAGGGACGAATGTTCGAGTCTAGCGAGTTCGTAACTTGGATAAGTGAACTCGGTTGTAACCTGCATTACATAACGCCGCAAATGCACCAGGCAAACGGCCGAACTACAAGAACGTACCCTGGTCAGAAACGTTGTGGAAACTTCAATTGGTGTTAAACATCACGAGACAGAAAACTACGCAAGTATCACCATTGAATCTTCTGATTGGTACTGAATCCACAACTCTAGTGGTTCGAGCTCTGGTGCGCGACATAACTGTCGAAGGATCGACACCAAATAGAGAGGCCCTACGTGAAGTAACCAGAAGCAGGGTCCGCGAACTCCTAAGGAGCAATCAAGCTAGACAAGACGAACAAGTTAACAAACGGCGACGTCCACCTCGCCAATTTAACGTTGGTGACTGCGTGTTCGTAATAAAAAATTTTTGAGAGTAAGTAAATTACTGTTGTTTGAATTTACGGACAGGAGTGATGGTTTGGCTACTGCGCTGTGCTGCGGTAACGCCGGTAGCAGGCGCGTGTGTATTGCCGGTCGTGTTGGCACCTGTTGCTGAGTCACTGGCGGCCGTATAAATTTGGCCATGTGCGGTCAATTTATGGTCCCACACGTATGAATACGGTCTGCGTGTTGAGAGAGCTCGTGCGTATGAATACGGTCTGCGTACCGAGTGAGCTCGTACACATGATTGCGGTCAGTGTATGAGTCGGCTTACACGTATGAATACGGTCTGCGGGTTAAGCGGCTTGCACGTATGAATACGGTCTGCGTGTCAAGCGGGTCTGCGGATTGTCAGACCATGTTGCAGGTGGCGAGAGCTGAACGCTGGTCGTGGTCGCGGTCGCGGCCGCCGTCAGCAAGACAGCAGCAAAGAAACCGCCACTTGCGCGCTGGACACGTACAGGGCAATGCCTTGGCTTTATTTTTATAATTAGTTTGAGAAAGATGGATGCGTGTGTCTATTCTAACTTATGAACTATTTGAGAGAACGATGAATGAATTAGTTGGCTGAAGAGGAATGGAACTTTGTGAGAGGCTGAGCGCTTTTACACAAATTGCTCGGAAAGCTTCTAACAAGATCTTGCTTGCAGATAAAGATACTGAAGACGACCCTGAACAAACGGGGTCCTCTACTGCGGTCGAGCCGTCGCTTCTGCCGGGGGACGAAGTGGAGGTCGAGGTGCTGACCTCTCCCATCGCGGGTCCTAGCGGGGCCACTCAAAGAGTTGGTGTCGAGGACGACACCTCGCCAGGAGAGGCCGTGTAAGGAGAATCCTCTCTTACGTCAGTAACTACCCCACCTCGCCTATAAAAGCAAGGAGCTGCAGATAGAACGACCATTCGTTGCTCGACGCTCGGACTGGACGGACGTGTGAATCATCGGCTAGTCGTAAGGTTACGTAAGCCATTTGAGTTTTGTTTGTGGAAAAAGTGCGTTTGTGTGTTTCGTATAGTGGATTTTAAGTTCTAGTGAACTGTAAGTAAATTTTGCTGATTGTAATTTGAGTCAATTGCGTTTACGAAGTAAAAAGTGCTTTTTTTGTTGTGAATCGTTTTTTTAAATAAATTTCCACTTCTGAAGCTTATAATAATAATATTCTTTGGAAATAACAGATAACTTACTTCCCGTATCAATCTCAAATTTACATAGAATGTTCTCAACTTTTATTTTAGCGTAATATGGACCATCACCGTTATTACTAACTACTAAATTATAAAAATTACAACCTTCATCCTGCGAGTCCGATCCGTTCGGAAAAAACTGATTTTTGTTTGAATATTTAGAACTTTTATTCTCTATCCCTATCCGGTGCAAGCCGTCGTCGTGCGGCGCCGCGCCTGCTGCGCCCGCCATGGACGCGTGGCGCTCTGCCGCCTCCAGTGCCTGAGACAGCTCCACGGCACGCTTGTAGTGCACATCCTTTTCCGCAAAGATCCTCGATCTCATGTCTTCATTGTACAAACCAGATACATATTGGTCGCGTAAGTTCTCCTCCAACTTTTTACCAAAATTACAACTTTTTGCCATATGTTTTAAAGATTGTAGGTAGTCGCGAACACTTTCACCTTGACGTTGAGTTCGCTGCCTGAAAATGTGCCGTTCAGCAATTTCTGATCGTTCAGGTTCCACGTGATCTTTCACCAGTTTAACTAGTTCGGTAAATGTTTTTGATTCCGGGGTACTTGGCGAGCACAAGTCACACATTAACTCATAGCACTCCGCGCCTACTACCGTCACTAACGTAGCAACTTGAAGCGAATCACTAATGCTATTCAATTTATCGACTTCCCTTCGCGGCACCGTGCGACTAACGTGTGACTTCGTATGCTAACAATTTTAATATTGTTTTCTGTGCTTTTATGTGACTAGTTTCCGGTTTGCGGGCGGCTAAAGGTTGTGTATAGTGTTTCTAAAGAATTTCAGTAAGTTTTATTGTTTTCTAAACATAAATATAGTGCCGAATTCTTTTATTACGACTATTGGTGAGTAAATTTATTATCTTACTAAAAGTGGGTAGGCGGTATCCTTTGTTTAAATTGATTTTTCTCTGCGTATTGTTTATTTTTAAGCTTGCTTGCTTGTTGACTTAAGTGGAAATGTTTCGTCTCCTACCGGTCGTGATAACTGTGGGGAGTACAATTACTGTGACTTAGTGTCACAGGCCACCGATTACTTATCAAAAGTTAATGAATTAGTTAATGATCAGGGATCTCGGATGAATGTAGGGAATAAAACGGCGATTATGGATATTACTCAACGAATTACCGGTATCGTATCAATGTTAGCAATAAAATCCTTTAGCAACGAAGCGAAGTTATCGAATTTTGAGCGACAAATGGAGGGTATCACAACTCAACAAACGAGTTTAACCTACGCGGACAAACTTAAGCTTCGCTTACCACCTAAATCTGCCCCGTGCCCGGTACCTACTGAATCGCGCATTCCTAGGCCTTGTGTTATTGCCTATCCCACTACGGAACGCTTAGCGGACTATGCGACCTCGTCAGCAACGAAACAAGCTCTTATGAAGGCTATTAAACCGAGCGATGAGGGTTTCCAAATTGTAGGCGTTAAAAAAACCTCTAAGGCAGGCGTCGTGTTACGTGTAGCTAACGAACGGCAGCTTAAGAAACTAGAATCTGTAGACGCCATTAAATCAGCAGGTTTACGATTAGAAAAACCGAAAGGCCGAAAGCCCCGTATAATTGTAAAAGACGTACCCGGTTCTATGGAAGATGGTGCCTTCCTAACAGCTTTATACCGTCAGAATATCAAGGACGAATTAAAATTAAGTGAGAACGATTTTATAAAGTCAACCAAAATTGTTAGGCATCGTAAACTAGAAAATGGGCGTCAATGGATAGGCTTAGAATTGGAGGCAGCAGTTCGGAAACATCTAGCCAACACAAAAGATAAACTTTATATAGACTGGGCCACTTGTCGATTCATAGACGATATAGAAGTAGTTCGTTGCTTAAATTGTCAGCAATTCGGTCATGTACAAAAGTTTTGCAAACGCGAGTTTGCCCAGATAAAGACACACCAAATTTTAAGCCCACGTGTGCACAGTGCAGGCGGTTCAAAAAACCATCTGACCATCGATGCGGCTCACACGACTGTGCCTCATACAAATTAAAACTGGAGCAGCTAATATTAAATACCAATTACTGAATAGTTTAATTCAGCTTAAAAAAAAAAAAAAAAAAAAAAAGTTTATAGAGTAACTTACTAAGTAATGGTTAATATTTCGATAGGCCAGTTAAATCTTCATAACGATAAAATAGCCACATCAGAATTAGACAGTTTAATTTTAGAACAAAAGTTAGACATTGTCCTTATACAAGAACAATATCAGAGCGCTCGCTTGCGTCGTAATGTAGTACAGCTTGACTGCCGTTCGCAGGCTGGGATATATGTTGCAAGTTCTAATTTTACGGTAACATCTTTGCGTAATCTTATGACGTCACACTGCGCCGTTGCTGAGATCTGATGACGCTCAGCTCACGCTCACGCTCAGCTCACGCTGAGCTCACTACGTAAACCTTACAGGTAGAGGATGCTCTACCTGTAAGGTTTACGTAGTGAGCTGCTATTTTCAATATTCACATCCTATTGATCCTCACTTACATCACTTACGTTACGTCTTGCAGTACCTCGTGGGACATAAAATTATCATTGGCGCTGATGTCAATGCGTCATCTTCATTATGGTATGGCAAGTTGCGTTCAACCGACACGGTTCGACGTTGTGCGGTTGAAAATTTCATTGCGGAAATGAATCTTACTATTCACAATACCCCCGATGCACCACCAACTTTTTGCAACCCAATGGGTGAGTCTTCTATTGACGTGACGCTTACGCGCGGCGACGCCTCGATATCCGGATGGCGTGTCCTCCCGGACGCATCCTGTAGTGATCACCGCTTGATCGTGTACGAATTCATACCAAGGGTTGCACGGGATCCACAAAGGGCTCCTTTTAATTTTAGATATAAAACTAAAGGTGCGAACTGGGCTTTGTTTGGTTCACTATTTGCAACTCATACCAAATACTTCAGTCGCAGTAGTTTATCAGCTGAGGAAAGCGCAGAAATACTATCAGAAACTTTCACATACTGCGCTGATGTATCTATTGGTCGCGGATCTATTACTAACACTCGTAGATGTGATTGGTGGAATGATAGATTAATCGAACTACGTAGAAGCTACCGGAAAGCTCGTAGAAAATTAAACAATTTTAAAAAACACAACGTAACAGGAGATTTGTACAATAATGCTCTCATTGCTCTAAGAGTTGCCAGGTCCCACTACAGAGCTGCAGTGGAGAAATCGAAGGGAAACTTAATTCAGAAACTTGTCGATAGACTCGATAGAGAGGGCCCGTGGTCACCTTTGTATCACGAATTTAAGGCAAATAGATCAATCGACCTTGCATACATGCAGAACATCAAAATTAATAACAGATATACCACAGGAGTAGAAGAAACAGCAGAATATCTTTTAGACTCACTCGTACCTGACGATCGGCCGGAAAACGACACTGATCATCACCGACATATCAGGCAGTGGGCCATCGAACCACCACTGTCTCCAATGTCTGATTTACCATCTTCAGACGAATTTCTCGGTATCATTAGATCCTTGCCACTAAACAAGGCTTCGGGCGATGATAAAATACCTAACAAAATGATCAAAGAAGCTTGTAAACTTTCGGGTGAAACAATTTTCACTGTCTTTAAACGTTGCATTGCTGAAGGAATATTTCCTCGTATATGGCGGTGCGGTAATATTCGTATAATACCAAAAAGTGGCGACAAGCCACCGAATGATCCTAAATCCTACCGACCAATCACATTATTACCATCGTTAGGAAAGCTTTTAGAACGTCTCGTAGTGCCCCGGCTTCTGCCAGGTGGAGTCAAATTTCATGATAGACAATTTGGATTTACGTTGCGTAAATCGACAACTGACGCTGTTATATCGGTTAGAAAGTTTGTCACAGAGTCAAAATTTCAATACGTGCTGGCTAATTTCTTAGATATATCTGGCGCCTTCGATAACGCATGGTGGCCCATGTTGTTGCTGAAATTAAAATCACGGGGGTGCTTTAAAAATATTTATTCCCTTATATCTTCGTACTTTTCACAAGGTACTACTAAACTAAGACTTGGTCATCATTCTGTGTCGAAGGCGCTTACAATGGGATGTCCTCAGGGATCGGTGCTAGGTCCATACTTGTGGAATATCGGCTTTGACGATTTTCTTGCGATACCAATACCATCCGGATGTACTCGGAACGCGTATGCTGATGACGGCTTATTACTGGTGGAATCTGATACTAGGGCGGGGCTTGAGAGACTAGCCAATAGATGTTTGAACTTGATATCTCAATGGGGTGAACGTAATCGCTTAAATTTTGCACCCAACAAAACCTTCCAGCTACTTTTAAAAGGTAACCTCAAATCACCGCCAAGTATTAGATTTGACAATGTTACTGTAAAAAATAAGGCCTCAGTGTGTTACCTAGGATTAGTTTTAGAAAGAAACTTTTCATTTATCGAACATATTAAAATAGTTAATGAAAAGTCTAAAAAGAGTTTCTGAGCATTGACAAGGATATCAACTGCGACATGGGATCTATCATTTAATACATTAAAGATCATATACGGAGCTACTTATTTAGGTTCTATGTGCTATGGTGCACCTGTATGGGCCGATAGGGCGACCGTAGGCGCTGTCCGTCGCAAACTGTTACAAGGCCAACGACTTGCACTGATATTCTTGTGCAAGGCATATAGGACGGTTAGCACCGAGGCTTTGCCGGTGTTGGCGGGTGTGCTTCTGGTCGATCTCGAAGTGCAGAGACGTGCAGCCATGTACTATTCAAGACAACAAAACATGGAATGCGATTTTTTGGGCGCGCGGGATCGCGGTAAAATTACAAGATTGCTTCAACAGCAGTCCGATGTCTATAATGACCTCATAGACGAATGGCAACAACGCTGGGATGAATCATCCAAGGGGCGCCATCTTTACCAATTCTTTCCATCTGTTCGCGAACGGTTTTCGAGGACATGGCTTGAGGTGGATCACTGTGTCGCTCAATTTCTTACGGGTCATGGTAACTTTAAGAGCAAGCTTTATTCATTTAAATTAGTCGAGTCACCATTGTGTCAATGCTCAACACCTAACTCTCACTATGAACAGTCTGCTCATCATATCCTCTGGGAATGTAGTCTTTGGTATAATGAACGTAATATAATGCTGAATACCTTGCAGGTGACATCTGGGGCGGTTGCTATGGGGATCTTGTGTCAACTAGGGTGAATTTCCGTGCGTTTAGGCAATTCTGCCATACATATTATAGAAATCAAATATAGCTCACGTAGGACCCGTAATATTTCGTGGCCGTGGTGCTTCCCTGTTTAAAAGGGTGTATGCCCATTT